AACATCGCTCCTGCCTCCTGGCCTTCAGGTTTGTTTACTAATCTCTTTTAAAAAAAAGATTTTTTTTTTTTGTGTGTGTGTGTGTGTGTGTGTGTGTGTGTGTGTGTGTGTGTGTGTGTAGGAGCCCACAGAAGCCAGAAGAGTGTGGGATTCCCTGGAACTAGAGTTACAAGATATTTGAATTGCCCAAAGAGAGTGCTGGGGATTGAAGCCAGGTCCTCTGGAAGTGAAGCAACTGCTCTTAACTGCTGAGACCCTCTCCAGTCCCACCTCTGCTCTGCTGTTTTTAGTTGCTGCCAGAAGTTTCCTAAAAGGCAAGTCTGATCCAGTAAGTTCCCTCTTTCAAACTGTTCAGTGGTGTCACATTTCTCTTGAGATCAAGTGCAAACTCTTTAACTTGTCATAAAATGTCCTTAAAATGTGGTTGCTGCTAGTCTTTCTTCTTTTCAATATTGGGGGTTTACACCCAGGGCCTCATGCACACAGCCAAGTGCCCAAGCCTGTGATGTACTTGAACTCACTTTAGTCTAGGCAGTCCTTCAATTTGTGACCCTCTTACCTTGGTCTCCTGAGTAGCTGGGATTATAAGCCTCCAGACAGCTGGTGAATCAGCTCAACTTTATTCCAGAGTATAAGGAAAATACTGGGGGGACAAATCCTAATTCGCATTCAGTGGCATGGGCCCATTATAAGGTTTCCTGTGTGGCAGTAGGGTCCTATAGCAGAGCTCCTGGCGCAGGTCTTAGTTAGCATTATGTGCAGCAGGGGAGGCTTCTAGCAGGAATTTCTGCCAAGGGTCACCCTAGAAATAAATCGGGTATCTGGTTTAGAAACAGCTTTCAGATAAGGTCAGTCCTCCAGGCCCAGGGACATTCTGCAGATAAGGGAAGGTAGCAAGCAGGAAGTTTCACTGGGGACGGAGTCTTCATGTCAGAGCTTTTGGAAAAAGCTACCAGGCCGATAGACTGCAACCTCTGACTAGCCAGCAAGGCCTTCCAATGTTAGCTCTGCAGTACAATTTGAGGTCAGAGATGGTGATAACTCCAGTAGTTCCATTATTTTTGTTTTAGCTATAGTATATATGTGTGTTTCCATATGAAGCTGAGAACTGTCCTTTCAAGAGCTGTGAAGAATTATGATAGAATTTTAACGGGGATTGCTTTGAATCCATAGGTTGTTTTTGGTAGGATGGTCAGTTTTACTGTTTAAATTATAAAAAAAAAAATTGTAGCACAGGCTGACCTTGAACTCGTGATCCTCCTGCTTCCATCTCTTTTAGCAAATCCTACTGCTGTGCACCACCACTATCTAAACAGAATTCTCAAACAAAGAAACTCAAATGGCTGAAAAACACTTAAAGAAATGTTTACCATCCTTAGTCATCAGGGAATGCAAATCAAAAGCACTTTGAGATTTCATCTTACACCCACCAGAATGGCTAAGATCAACAACAACAACAAAAAAGTGAGCAGCTCATTCTAGAAGATGTGGAGTAAAGGATACCCCTCCATCTCTGGTGGAAGTGCAAACTTGTATAGCACTATGAAAATCAGTGTCGCAGTTCCTCAAGAAGACGGGAAATGATCTACCTTCAAATCCAGCTACACCACTTTTGGGCATATAGCCAAAGGAAGCTTCATCCTACTATAGAGACACTTGTTAACCATGTTCATTGCTGGTCTATTCATAATAGCCAGAAACTGGAAACAATCCAGATGTTTCTCAACAGAAGAATGGGCAGAGAAAATAGCACATTCACACAAGGGAATATTATTCAGTTGTTAAAAAAATGAAATCAGAAATTTGCAGGTAATTGGGAGGAACTAGAAAAAAAATCACCCTGAGGTAAGCCTGATCCTGGAAGACAAATATGGCCTGTATTTTCTTATTTGTGGATATTAGCGGTTAAATAAATGACAATTAAGCTATAATCCACAGAACCACAGAAATTAGGTATAAAGTCAGGGACTTGGGGGTGATGCAGATACGTCTCCTTAGAAAGGGGGGATAGAATAATTATTGCCACTTTTTTAAAAAATAAACGTAGTATTTGGGTTATGGATGTGATGGGTAGGGACTGGAAAAAAGAGGATCAAGTAAGGATTGGGAGGGAAGAGGGGGACAAGGGAAGGGATACAGAGACAGATAAAAATAAGGACCATTTGAGGGGTGGTATAAAAACCAAATACAATAGCCTTCTGAAATATATACATACAAAGCTGATGTGAATGAAATTGCCAGTGAAGGAGACAGAGCCTCAACTGGCCATCTCTTGTCACCAAATGAAGCTTTCAATACTGAGATTGAGTTACATCTCCTTAAGCTCTTGGCCAAAGGTGCTTCATGGGAATCCTTAAACAACCCAAGCTGTTGCCAAGACTATAGGTTGCTCTCCATAAACTGACAGCAAAGCTCCATTGCTGAAGACAACACGCAGACAACTCACTGACCATGGAGAAGCCAAGCTGGAGCCTACGTAGACCTTTTCCCCTTACATGACAGCAACTTTGGTACAGGAAGGTATTCTGCATGCTACCAAAGGAGAAACGAGCCACAAACCCTTTGCTCAACAATGGTGTCCTGCATGCAAGATATGCTATGGCAATGGAGGTACAAAGCTTGTGGAGTAACCAGTGTTTGGTTTGATTAAAGACCCATGCCATGAAGTAGAGCCTATACCTTGGGTGACCAAGAATCTGAGAATAGATATTCCAGGGACTTAGGGTAAACCCAAATACTACGTTTTTTTTTTTTTTTAAAGGTGGCAATAAAGTGACTCCTAATGATATTCTGCTGTACCGAGATCATTGTTTTGCTCAAACATCATCAGAGGAGCTTCCTCCTTCAGTAGATGGGATCAAGTATAGAGACCCACAGCCAGACATGCAGAGACCTTGGAATACTCAGCCCTAAATTTGATGTTCCCATCAAATGTCTCCCCTTAGGGCTCTGGGAACCCTGTGGAAAGGGAGGCAGAAAGAGTGCAGGAGCCAGAGGACAAAGAGGACCCCAAGAAAACTAGGCCCTCTAAACACAACCAGGCTGACACACATATGAAACCAGAACCTGAGGCAGCCTGCACAGGGCCTGCATGGGTCTGCACCAGATCGGGGCCTAGAACTAACACAGCACATGCCCCCTTCCCTAACCCAGAAGCAATCTCCGATTGATAGTCATTTGCAAATAAAAATTAGTTTTCTCCAACGGAGTTTCACCGGGGAAATGAGCCACTCTCAGGGGTAGGCTGCAAGACAAGCAGTAGACGGCCAACAGAAAATGAACTCAATGTCGTCTTTGGAGGTTCCTTGTCTCATAATGTCGTTAGGGATCTTTTTTGATTCAATTTTAAAAATTGAACATATACGTAAAATTTGGAGTATGCAAATGAGTGAGTCTGTGTCTATATCTGTTTCTTGTGCCTTTTCTTGGGCTCTTTTCCTTCTGTTGTATTATCCTATTCTAATGTGTTAGTTTGATTTTATTATATTATCCCTTAGAAACCTGTTTGTTTTCTAATGAAGAGACTGAAATGGGATCAAAGAGGGGAAGTGGGAGGAACTGAGAGAAGAGAGAAATCCATAATTAGGATATATTATGCAAAAATCTACTTTCAATAAAAGGAAAGAAAACATTTAAATGCATTTGTGTATGGGTACATGGACACTGCGGGGAGAGACATGGTGTATATGTGGAGGTCAGAGGTCAGTTTTCTCCCTCTAACATGTGGGGCCTGGGGTTCAGGTCATCATGACTAGCAGCAGGTGCAGGAGTCCTGATCTGACTCTTTTTTATGGCTGAAGAGAGCCCATCAAGGAGAAGGCACAGCAGCTGCAGCACAAGGCTCTGGCCAAGTGCATCCAGTCAGGAGGCAGAAAGTGATGAGACTGTACCTCTACAGGCTAACGTCACGATAACTCCTTTCTATGAAGATCTAGGACCTCAGCCCGTGGAATGGTAACGCTCACATGCAGGGTGAATTTTCCCATCTTATGAACTAATCTAGATAATTACTCTCAAGGCATGCTCACAGGCCAGTCTCAGTTGTTTCTGGATCCCGTCAAGTTGATTATTGAAATTAACAACCAATGTACGCACCACACTTTCTTATTCACCCATCTGGTGATGGATGTCTAGGCCGGTTCCTTATCTTGGTCTGTGAACAGTACTCAGTGAAAATAGTCAGTGAGATCTGATTTTACAGTTGCCACCCTGCTTTACATGCATGCACAAATCACACAGAGGCACCTGTATGACATTCCTCCACCATTCTCACTTTTACTGTACCTATGTGTGATTCTCCTGCTCCAGCTCCCCAGGGCTGGGATCACAGCTGGGAAGCACCACGCCTGGCACTTGTCAAGGGTTCTCATTGTTATGGATAGAATTAAGAGTAGATACTGATTTTAATCACATCTTTCGGCATCTATTTGAGTAGTCTTTTCCCTTTCATTTCTTCTATTAATATGGTAAAGTATAATGCATTACAAAGAACTAATGTATCCTAGCTTTTGAAATGGAGATATTCTTATACTCCTGGACTACAGCTCCGCAATGCTCTTCATTCTTTCTCTTTTTTTCAGCTAACTGCACTGTGTCTTGGGGTCCTTACATCAATATAGCATAAATGCAGATTTACAAAAATAACAATTTCTACTCAGCCTGATGAACTTGTTATTAAAAATGAATTATCCCAAAGCTTTTCTTTTCTTTTCAAGTCAAATGCTTTGAACTGTATAGTCACTAGGAAAGTCACTATCGGGTACTGAGGAGTTTCTAACAAAAACGAGGAATCTAATTGTTGCTCGAAGGCAGCAAGGGAAGGGGAAAAGTAACCTCATGTGAGTGTCTCTTCTGCTTCTACAAGGTCAGCATTCCTTTAGGAAGAACTTTAACTCAACAAATACATAAAAAAAAAAATCAATCAGATAAAAGTGACCCCCATAGGGTTTAAATCTTCAAAATAACTTTTTTCAGATAATAAAATACAAAATACATATGTATCAAGTAGAAAAACATTAGTTTATTTATCTTCAATATCTTAAAATACTGAAACATCTTACTTTGGTATACTTACTATGGTTTATTATTCACAAAGAGGATAAAAAAGCTTTTTATCTTAAAGTATATATCTAAATTAACTCAACTGCCAGTCTTTAGAAAACGCCTCACTGGACTTTACTTCTGCTGTTATGTCTGAGATAAAGCTGCTGTATAGACTGCTGGTTGTAGTTTAGTGAAAACATCAGCTAGCTCAGCACTAGTTTGCTCCCACTGTGACTGGAGAGCTGTAACGGAGGAGGAGGCTGACGGAGACTGCGCCTTCATCAGCCCTCGCATTTAGCTTTCTTGCTAGCTGGAAGAGAATCATCATCCACTTCTGACGGCCGAGGTTTCTTCACTGTAGAAATAATTCCAAAAGCAGTTTTTCTAGTTTCTGTAAAATAGAAATGACAGGATCTTACTATGTAGCCTAGGCTGGTCTTGAACTCCTTCTATACTCCAACTCCTTCTGTATGATCCTCCTGCCTTAGCTCCTGAGAGCTGGGATTACAGGCATGCATCACCATACCTGGTGTAGGATACAATTTAAGGAGAAGCGGTTTAACCAGCACTAGCCCATTTCTTTGGCCTACAGCACAGTAAATAAAAAACCACAGAGAGCACTTACAAGTGCTGATGCCATTTTAATCATCATTTTTCCCAACATGCACCAAGAGCAGCACTTTAACATCCGGTCCATTCCTAAGGATTACCTCTTAGGTTAAACTGCAGAGCAGGGCTGCTTCTCCAGTGCTCTCTCCATGGCATCCTATGCAGTCAGAACCAGCCATAGGCACCGGTCTAGCAACTGCTTTATGTTGGTAAAAAGACGGACAAATCACAAGCACAGATGTAGCAGTCACTAACTGCTCCCACAGCGAGGGCTGTGCTGATCTCATCTTACAGCACATGCCACCACTCTCAGTAGATCACAACATCCCTCTGAACGTGTTGTATTGACTACCAATGGCCTGCTATCCAACATTCATCTAACAAATGCTTGCTGAGCAAACATATAAAATCACACTCAGGTTTATCAATCCTTTATGCACTGTTAGAGAGGAATTACTTTACATGCTCAGGTCAGTTTGGCAGCAGAGTTGAACTTAAATTTAGTCAACCTGTCTTAAAAACATGCTATAACAGACACTGTTATATAACAATTCCCAACAGTGATTTTTAAATGTTCCAAATGTTGGGATTAGTATCCTAAAAATACACGTAGTAGGAATGAAGGCACACAGGAGAATCAACGGCCTGGATGAACTACGACACACCATGGAAATGCCAGTGACAGGACTAGAAAGAGCACGGCCAGGAAACAGGAAAAGCAGCCTTTGCAAGGGAAACGAGGGCTCTGCCTCACTTGTGGGCCTTCCATTTCACATGGGTACATAAATCATACATGTGTAGACCACATGGAAGTAGAAGCCCAGGAATCTAAGGAAACTGTCTAAGGAACACAGGGGACCAATGTGGGGCACAATGGGGATACGCACAAAGGGACCAGTGTGGGTTAGAGGAGGAGACTATGAACAAAGAGGACTAAGGGGGGATGTGAGCCTAGGAGACTAATAGCTGTGTGTGTGTGTGTATGTGTGTGTGTGTGTCTGTGCGTGTGTATGTGTGTGTGTGTCTATGTGTGCATGTGTGTCTGTGTGTGTCTGTGTTAGTGGTGGGTAATATGCACAAAAGGGACTAATGAGGTGAGAAAAAAAGATAGAGGGGCATGGGGCAGGAAATATGTTCAAAGTACATGTATTATAGTTACAGGGAAATGGCCTTATGTAACTTAGTATAATATATTCAAATAAGCAATAAAACAAAACAAAGTAAAACAAAACTAAAAAACATGTTGGGGGAAAAAACACCCAAAATATATACTCAGTAGATGCATGCTCATGTAAACCAAAACAAGAAATGAAGCACTCTGAGTTATAATAAAAGCAAAAGTTACAGACTGACTTTAGATAGCCTGATTCACACAAAATTTTTTAAAAAATCTGTTTGTTTTTCTTCTCAATGGTTTAGCATGCTTCTTTTGTTTTTCTATTCCTGTTACAAAATACCCTGATAAGAGCAACTTAGAGAGTAATGGGTTTGTCAGCCCACAGTTCAAGGGTAGAGTCCATCATGGTGGGAACTGCCGGAAGTGGCTGGTCACACCATATTCACAGTCAGGGAGAAGGTTATCAACACTGGTGCTCAGCTTGCTTCCTCCACTTCATTCAATAGGGACACCCACCCAGGGAGAGGTCCCATCCACAATGGGTCTTTCTCACACACATTAACCCAATCTTATGTTCTCAGGGGTTAACCGTTAGCAGGTGAGTCTGAAGCCAGGTGCTTTTAGATCCTGTCAAACTAACACCACTATTCCCATTTCTGTTTCTGAAACTCATTATTGTTAGCAGGAAGCAAGTTCATCCAGAGAGAAGCAAGCAGGATGGATGTTAAAAGCCTGTGAAGACACAGGCAGGGGACACTGTGTTGTTTGAAAGAACACATGTAGTGTTTACTCCTGCAAAGAAAACTCTACACAATGCATATACTATAGAAAGTAAAGTCTACTGTCTAACAGGAGGGCAAGGAGCAGAGTGTATGGTTAGAACTGGCTGAGAAAAGACGGTCTTGGAAGGACTCTGCAGAAAGGACAATAAAAGCAGGTATGTGTCAACTGCTTGTTAGTGACGTGACTCTAATATGACCATGCTCACCTCCATGGAGAAACGCAGCTCGGCAATTTGTGGACACGGCAGCCTTGGCTTCGCTCTCAGACAGCCCAAACAGCAGCCCTCTGATAGGGTTATTAAAGATTTCAACCCAGTGTTGGCAAGGATGTGAGCCAACACAAACACAAATGCAAATGACAGCTCACCTGGTCAGCAGCACACACACTAATTCTATGGCAGGTCTTAACCCAACAGAAACCTACATCTGAGAGTCCCATTTAACTGTCTTTGTCACATAGAGAGAGCCCCTTGTTTCTCAGTTCTGCTTAATTCAAAACCAGAAGGATGAGGAAGTTTACAGCCTGCTGTAGTCTGCTTCTGAGGCTACTGATCAGTAAATTACAACTATAGGGTAAGAAAACATCAGGCTAAACTTTAATACCACTTTTGACTCAATTTTCTAAGGGAAAATTCCAGTCCAGTGTGATGGCTCAGCAGGTAAAGGTGCCTGCTGCCAACTCTGATCTGAGTTTGATGCTCAGGACCCACAAGATGGGAGGGAAATGACTCCTGAAAGTTCTCTAGTTGACACACGCACCTCTCCACCTAATACCGACATGCTTTTATGCTTTTAAAAAGAACACTAAGAGGATACAAGTTTGCCACATCATACGGTCCTCTTATTTCCAAAGGCTAAAAGAAGAAAAACGGAAAATAAAATGTTATTAACATTTTAACTATTTACAATAAATAAGACACAACTAAGTAGCCAAAAATAGGTAAACTTCACAAGGTTCTTATAATTTTGATAGGTTTCTAAGAGTATAAATAAATCATGAAAAGCATTTTTAACAAGGTAAAGGGAAAAAAATAAACTCATTTTATTCTAATTAACCCAAAAATATAAGTATATATAGGCAAAACCTGAAGCCCAATGAATAGGATACATTTTAGCAATTGCTATGGGCAAATACAGTTAAAGCATAAACAGGCAATACATTACACTGCTGTTTCAGTTGTTCTAAAAACGCAGTGAAGTTTTACAACTACAAAGACAAAGCAGTATATGCCATACTTACCCTCTCTGCACCACTGGAGAGAATTACATTCTATAAAACAGAAAGTGTGCAACATTAATCTTAACAACTGATAAAATAATTCAAGAACTACATAATACGAATGACCAGCAACCCTCTTTAGCATTGAAGGCTCAAATACCAACTTCTTTTGGATAAATGGCAAATACTGAAAACTCTCACACCCAAGGCAGCCAAAACAACAGGCAGAATAAGCTTCATAAACAAATTTTATTTGTGCAGATGAATGAAATTTAAAAGCTGGAGCTTTAATTCACTCAGAGAAAACACCCATGATCTAGAGGAAGCTTTTCATTGTGGCACACTGCAAATTCCTCATGAAAATAAAGGCTTTCCAAATACCTTTTCCCACCATATCTTACTTCTCCCCTAGGAGGCTTTTTGTTTTGTTTTGGGTTTTCAAGATAAGATTTCTCAGGAGCTATGGAGTCACTCCTGAAAGTCACTCTGTAGACCATGCGGGCCTTGAACTCACAGAGATCCAAACTGCCTCTGCCTCCTAAATACTGGGATTAAAGGCCTGTGCCACCACCGCCCGGCTTCCCTTGACAGTTTTTACAAAGCCCTGTAGGTCTCACTGAAATGGAGGATTTTAAAGACTCAGGAAGAGTTAACAGCACCAGCAAGTCACTAGTAACCGCAGAGGTAAAAAGTATCCTTGGCTCCACGACTGTACCTTTCCTCTGCAGATCTGCATCAAACTGAGGGCGTTGGAAATTGTGTACCTTCTCATCGTGGCGTCTCTGATGGCAGGGCCATAGACAAGTTCAAAGCCCAGACCCCGGTCAATTGCCTTCACCAGAAATAAAGAAGACAAATGGAAACTGTCAAAGACAAGCGCATTAACGAGTCTCTCCCACCTTCTTTCCCCCTCTATGCACACCTCCTATATAGCAAGGGACTGGCTTAAACAAAGAGGGTGGACCCAATACCTCTACACTCCAAGCCAAAGTGAGGAAAAGACACAAGACTCTCTGACTGACAGAGCTGATGTTAGTTTCGGGAAGCTAACTGCACAAACAGGAATTACAGAGGCCCAGGACAGCAAAGTCAGTTTGGTGCAGAGGTGCAGACGGCTACCACTCCATGAACGGTCCAAGGAAAAGGATGTGCTTCCCACAGGCAGGGAAACTGAGCCAACAAGGAGCTGAGCAACTTGACCCAAGAATGAAGGAAAAGGAGGAGAAGATCTGAAGGGTCTGGTGAGCAGGAATGGGAACCTTACAGTTAAGTCACTTACTGCACACCACTGAATGGCAGAACAACCGCCATGACTGACTAAACTCATATCTGAGGAAATGTGCTAACCGGGGTTGAGGCACTTGGAAAAGAACTGTGGCTGAGATGTACACGTCCCAGCCCATTCTGCTTAAGTAACATTGTTTAAGGTTCATTGTAGCTCAGGAAAAACGGTGAAAGAGATCTGGGCCCTTCAGGACTTGCCTAGCTTGCTATATGGGCCTGGTCTTTTCATGAGGAAAAAAGTTCTTTTTCATTCAGTGTACTCTTAAGGTTGGAAAGTCTACAAGGCATAGGCGTGGGAATGAAATTCACCAGTGTGAATTTCCATGTGGCTTCCCAGACCAAAGGCTGCAGTAACTGTCCGTGCACAACAGGTGTGTTCACACCACTCACTACTGTCAAAGGCTGCAGTGAATTGTCCGTTCATAACAGGTGTTCACACCACTCACTACTGTCAAAGCAGAGACCTTCTCAGAGCTCTGGTACATGTGAGCAAGGAGAGGTTTGCAAAGAAAAGAATTAAGCTATTTCTTTTGCTAACTCTAACTGGACAAAGGAGTCTGACTCCTATTTCCCCACCTTCTAGTTGAAGGGGTAGGGTGTAGGGCAGTAGGATTAAGGCAGGAATTAGGATGTGAGCAATGTGGTGTGGACAATCAGATCCCTGAGGGTTTCTAGCTGAGTCAATTTAAATTTTAAAGCTGTCTGGGAATCACAACAAAATAAAACCCCTTTGAGGGAGAAGACTGGGGAAAATAGGATACAATTACCAGCTTAATTCCTTTCACATATGATTCTGGTCTTGGTACGTTAATCAGGTTCACTCTAAAATTGCTAAGAACACTCTTGAGAAAGAAATTAATGTGCTATTGAGGGCTGTATTTCTTTCATAAAACTTTACCGTTTTAGATGAATAAAATGCAGTCATTACCTGGTCTCCTGCTCCTAAGAGCATTTTTATGTAAATTGCTGTAAGTGCATCATATGATTGTTCATAACAATGTCTTTACAGAGAATGACAGCATCGGCCTGATTGGCTTTTGTTCTCATGTCTGAACAGAAGTGCCTGAACAGGCAGAGGATGAGTTTTTCTTACTAAGGAGAAATAATAGTCACAATGATGTCACCAAGAGCAGCCTGTGACAATTGGATCAGGATATACAGATAAGAAGATTGCAAGCACTAAAAACTTAAGTTAAGCTTTGGAGAAGGAAGAATGGAAACCAAGAGTTTATTCCAGGGCAGCATGCTGATTGCTTGCCTTAAAAATCAGTGCCTACGCTGAACTCAGGGTAGACAGCCTTGCTGCGTATCCTTTGGTGGATCGCATCCTCACCTGACTCACTGATCCAGTCACAGAAGGGAGGAGCAAGTCCTCCTTGCCTCTGCTCTCACTGCCCTATCCCCACTGCTGGAATTGCTCTCATGCAGTTCCTAGGTGCTCCTCCAGCTTCTTCACACAAATATAAGCAACTGTGAATACACATCAGCTTCCTTTTCTTACTTAAAAGGTAGCCTCTTATGTTCTTAGCTTGCCTGATTTGAAAGCTTCCCGATATCCATTTGTAAATTTCATTTTCTTTTATAGCTGCCGAGCATTTACTGTAGGGGTGCAACAGGTACAGCGTTTCATAAGCTTCTAATAGAAGTGGGCTGTTTCCAATGAGCAGCAGGATAAACAAACACTAGAGCGGGTCAGCCTATGTTACATTCCTAACCTGCAGGATCTCAGATCTCAGACTGTAACCGTTTATGGAGACAGCCAGTGCAGGTATAACCAAGATGAGGAGGTCATACTAAAAACAGTAGCTCCTAATCTCACCAGTGTTCTTACAAGATGGCTTACAAGGCTCACAGGAAAGCATGCTGATGACAAAGACAGAGAATGGCGCTACTGTGGCTGTAAGGCACTAGCTGTCAACAAATCACCACCGGCCTGGAAGACTCAAAAGAAAGGATCCCTTAATAATTTTTGGAAGGAGTACAGCCTGCTCACACCTTGATTTCAGACTTGCAGTCATAATGTATTTGGAATGTGTAAATGTCTCCCATGAGTCCACGTGCTTGACATTTGGTCCCCAGCTGGTGGCACTGTTCTGAAAGGTTGTGGAACCTCTAGAAAGTAGAACTTTGCTAGAAGTGGGTCACTGAGGTTTTACAGACTGCCCTGCCTCCTGTTCTGCATCTCCATGTAAGATGCTGCAGCTGCACTGCCGTCACCATGCAGCTGCCGGCTGCCTCGCCTTCCCAACCATGATGGACTGTATCCCACAAGCTGTGAGCAGACACACATGCTTTCTCCATTACACTGCTGTTGTTACATTTCAGCAATGACAACAACCGATACAAACCTGGAGGAAGGAAGAACTATCTTTTGGGGTAGCTACTGGGAGGAATGTCAGGACCTTGACCTTGTCCTTTCATTTCTGGCCATCATAAAGTGCGAGTCGCTGTTTCATCAAATTTTAAAAGTGCGTATGGTGTGCACAAACCACAGTTTCTACCCTGACAGACTCACTGTCTTGCTGCACACACCTATTATAGTACAATTTTCCCCAAACAAAAATATGGGCACCTGGCTCTAGTTTTCTCTCTTTCTCGACAGTAAGTGAATAAATGAACAGGAACTTTCCTGTTTCCTGGCCAGCTCAGCTCACACTGCAGACTTCTACACCAGATGAAGACTAAATGTAATCTTATGCAGCCTTCTGTCCACACCTCCATCTAGCTTTTATTAAGCAACATATGCAAAATGTTCATACGGTTGTGTCTGTGTAAAACAGACACTGTTAAATATTGCATATCCCTCCTGTCAAATTTTTTTTTTTTTTTTACTTTTCAGAATTTCTAAAGTGAAAATGTGGAAATCATGCCAAGAAGTATCAAACACTCAGCAACTTTTCTGCACTTCCAGATGGAATTGGCAGGTGGTGGTGTCCTGGTGCCTGCTGTGAGGGCCACTCCTAATGCTAGCTTAGTACCCCACTTCCCTCGTGCATATGTTCCTGCCCAACACTGACAACTACCTAGTGACTAATAACAAGCATCTTGGCCAGACCCCCCAAATGCTTACTGCTAACTTAGACACCGATTCAACAGCATATTTCAGGAAGGTCTCATAGGTCAGCTGGCACTAGGGTATTTGGAAAAGCCTTGGCACAGCTGGTGTACTATGGAAGCTCACAGGCTGCTTTCACGGTGAGGCTCACGAGAGACTCAATCATAAACCCTCACAAACGTGAGTCTCTAGGAATTAGATGGTGTGCACTGCTCCTTTCCATATTTTGACCACATGTTACCATTTCCTCCTAGCCAAGGTCACAGAACTTTGCATAAGTTTATTCAGGCAAACTGCCTAGAAAATGGGCTTCCTATTTTATTAAAGTAAAATGTTGTTAAATGGAACAAAAACTATGCACAGTGGCTGAGCTGTCTAACTCCAGGAAGCTATTTTGTAGGATGTACTGGCAGTCTGAGACCAGTGAAAAGTAGAGGCAAACTTGCAAGGCAGAGATTGTCTTTTCAACTCAAAAGAGATGACCATAAACTTAGGTCCTTTGTGCCTAATAGTACCTAGGCAGCAAGCGCTTGGAGCTGTTCCCAGGAGTGGAGCACACAGATCTTACCCTACAGGCTCAATCAGATCTGTCTGAAGCCTGTGACTGACACCGATGACTTGACAGTCTTCATTTCTCGTTTCTGAGAAGTGAGCTGCTGAATAGCATAGATCCCCAAGTCTGAGGTGTACGATGTTGGGGCTCAGAAAGCTCACTTCTTAAGTGCTACCAGCATCCCACTGGGGTTCAGGTTCTGCAGCACACTCAGAAGAGCTCTTCCAGTTTTCCCTACACATTTCTGGCACTTTTCCAAAGCCCTCTTAGTAGCCTAAGTCCAGGGTTAGAATACAAGTCATCTTACGTTTTCCCCACACCAAACAGATAACTCTCACTGTTGCCCCTAATACACAGGATCAAGCAGAAATTCTTTAGGAAAAAAAGTGAGGAAGATATAATCCTATGTAGGCTAAAGAATAAGGCAATTGTCCACTTTGACATAATTCAACATAGGATTTGGAAAGGCTGTTAAATCTTTTCTTGGGTAATAGTTTTTAATAACATAACTAAGTTCTGGAAGTCACTACGCTAAACAATATTCCTATGTTCTGGCTAGCAAAGCAAATAGTTACCAGCTGCAGTGACCTCATAACCACCAAATCAATTACTGGTGTGAGGCAATACTACCTTTCTGTAATGAAAATGGGGGTGGAGTGGGGTGGGGACGGTGTGAGACTTAGAAGGCAACATGGCAGGTGGAAGATGAAGGATACAGGGAAAAGAGAAGCTTACAAGGTAGGGTAATGAGGAAACATCTCAGGACCCTGAGCACACGGCTGCCCTGCTGAAACGGCTCTGGTGGAGCTGGGATGCCACGGCGCATGCTGTAATCTCACCATTCCTGGGGATTTCACACCATTTCCTTTTGGATCGCAGTTTTCAGGTATCTCAGGGATTGCTGTCTTTTCATATCTTTTCTTTTTCTTGTTACTTTTTGTTTGCTTGTTTGGTTTTTTTCAAGACAGAGTTTCTCTTGTAGTCCTGGCTATCCTGGAACTCTCTCTGTAGACCAGGATAGCCTCAAACTCACAGAGAACCACCTGCCTCAGCCTCCCAAGTACTGGGATTAAAGGCATGCATCATCCACACGTGGCTATTTTTTCACCTTTTCTTTTCCATCGTAATGCAATGTTGAGATTTTAAATAGCTATCATCATTAAATATCAACTTGACAATGTTCTTCATAAATCTGAATTCCTAAGTCTTTCAAAAAAAACCTTAATAGTTAACACTATCCTTTTTATTATTATTTTGCTTGTGGGGGGGTAGACAACGTCTCAGTGTGTTGCTGTTGGTCTTGAACTTCTGGCTCAAGTGCCTCTTGCGTAACCAGGAGTACCACATAATCATCTTAGATATTTTCTTTGTGTGTGTGTTTTCAAGAACAGCATGTGTGGAGGCCAGAGGGAGACATCGGGTGCCGGGCCTCACAGTTGAACCCAGAGCTGGCTGATTCAGTTTCTCTAGCGGCCAGATTGTTCTTGTCTCAGTTTTCCCCATGCTGAGATTATGAGCAGGTTGCCATGCTGCTGGTGTTAGTGTGGGCACTGGGATCCACACTCCTAGCCTCATGTCTACATAGCAAACACTTTCTTTACCCACTGAGCTACCCCGTGGCTCCCAGCTTAGACACTTTCTATTTTAAACTTTCTCTTTTAGTCAGCTTATAAAACCAAAATTCTCTTTTCTGAATCTGCTCCAATTACCAAGTACCCAGGCGCCGGTCCCTAAGAACATAGGTTTCTTTAGCTTCTTTTCTAGTCTGCAGACACCACTTCTACAGATTCAAGTTTAGATCAGAAAGAACAGCACTTACCACATTAACAGGGGGTCTTTTGAAGTAAAACGGTAATTTTTCGGTTACAGTTATACAGACTAAATCCACATCTAAATGTGTGCAAGCAACCTGTCAAGAAGAAAAACTAGATTAACAGAAAACTGGCATGCAGTGGAATGAGAGATAAGGTCATATCCAATATACAGAAACATAAACAGTAGAGCTTACTCTACAGGCATCATGGCGGTTCTGTGTTAACTGTTTAACAAGCCTATTACAAGGTCAGTTGTTTACTACTCTTTCAGGCTTGGCTTTGATAGTTTAATTCTCAAATGCCAGGGCCCAAAAGCCCTCTAATTCATAAACCTTTTTATATATGACTGAACTGGTGAGTTAGATCAGTATCTAGAATATTACTTTTAATTATTCCGGAAAGAAGCAAGTAATTGTTCTAAAATCCAAGGAATTGGAAAGTCAAAAAGAATGGTCCATCTTTTCCACAAGCTATTTAGTAAGCACATTTCACCAGGAATTGTCCAGGATGATAGTTCCAACCAGACTGTACTGTGGCTAAGAAACAGCACGGTGTGGCTGAAGGCCTTCTGTTCATATACTTACAAACAGTTTTAAGAGGGTTAAAGCAGAGCTGAGAGAAATCACATGAGTGCATTTTCATCGTTGCTTGTTGATCTATTCCCTCCACTTACCCCTAAAGAGTTTTGAAAGTAATTATACAAATCACATACAGAATAAATGGAACAGATAAGGCAACCAGGAGAAACAAAAAAATTAGAGAGGAAAGCGAATTGGTGGAGAGATTAGAAAGAGCAAGTCAGAAGATACTGCCGGGAGAGACCTAGACAGCAATCATTCAGCCATTACTTGATTTTGAGGTAGAAAGATTGGCTGTTTTGTACCATGCTGACAATGTCCCTAATGAGATTAGAGAGACGGCTCGGTTAAGAGCATTCATTTGCTGCTTTTTCAGAGGACCTGGGTTCAGGTCCCAGAATCCACATGATGATTCACAACCATCCATAACTCCAGTTTCAGGGGATCCAACACCCTCTTCTGTCCTCTGTGGGCATCAGGCAAACATGTAATGCACGTAAGTACACGCAGCAAACACTCATACACATAAGAAAAATTAAACAAAGAACTCCCCCCCACACACACACTTAGAATGCTGATGCACACAGTCTTCATGAGCAAACTTGGTGTGAGCCAGTGCCTATAGCAAGAACAGGAAAGTGTGGTATAAGGAGCAAGGAGAAACAAAATGTTGGTAATGCCTGTAGGATGGGCACAGTTCTTCAGCAGTGACAGATGTCACATCTCACCCATTTTCCTCAGAATGCCAGCTTTGGTCACTCCTGCCCCAGCCCCATGGCTTAGTGGTCAGCAGAGACCATCTGGTTTGAAGATGGTCATAGTTACACGGTAAGCCTGGGAAACTATGTTGTTTTGGCAGAAACTCTTGGTTCCTAAAGCATCTGCCCATCCCAAGTGCTCCAGCTGTTTAACTCACAAACAACAACAGAAACCTTGCTCGGAATGAAGGAAAGTCCTGCAGAGGAACGGAGCTGAGTTCAGCACCTGCCCACTTTTGGAGCACAGTGAAGTGCACGAAGACAGGAGCATCAATATTTCACTCCATTGTTGCTGAGGGCCAGACCAGGGTGTTGAGCATGCCAAATGCTCTACCAAGTCACAGCCCAGGAAACATTAACAATTCATATGTTCGTATCAGCACTATTACCCATAGAGACATAGCCTATAGGGACTTTTTTATATTCCATAGTTATAAATTCCACACAGACTAACAACAAAATAGTGCAAAAACAGTCATTGCCAGACCAATCACAAAGACAGAAAAGAGTAAAAAAATTTCCATTTTACTTAAGTAAATTACAATCCCCTTGGTCTCTTATTGGACAGAATGTGCCAATGTTTTAAAGGATGAGGTACATTTGTAATTATGGAACTCACATACTGTAGAAGACAAAAGCATGGTGCCAGGAAGGAGAGAGTGAAAAACAGGGGACAATGAGTTCAAGAAGTAGGTAAAAACATTTAAAAAAAATACAAAAGAATGCTTGCGATGGTTGCCTCTGAAGTAAACAAGCAAGAAGTGTTCGCTGGGGAAGGTATTTCTAGGAGATGCACAAGAAAGTCAGTACTGGCTGCCTCTGGAGACATTTTAGTTTGGAAAGCATGCTTTTTATACATATACTTCTGTGGTATTTAAATTTATTATTATAAATATAATTAGTTTTAATGAAAAGATGGCTTTAAATGACTGCCCTAATAAAGCAGAACTGGGTTCCTTCTCATTATACATTTTGTTTCTTCCTCTTTCCTATGGGGAGGCAGCTAACCAATGGATCTGCATTGGCTGAAGGACACACATTGTAAAGAACTTTCAGACACAGAGGAGATTCATTTGGGATCCTCTGACCTCTTGAATTTAGAATGCTCCAAACTAAAGTACTCTGTGATTAACTTTTCATCAGTCTAAATGTTCAACTGTTACTCAAAGAACTATGTGAAGCAGGGCACATACCCATATTCCTAGCACCAGGGAGGCTTACTCTAATATTCCCCAAATCATTAAAATGACTTAATTATGTCTAAAATAGTTTTGGAGCTAAGTATCTCAGTTCTCTCTGAAAATTGGTAGACTGTATATGAATTCACTTTGCCATCCTTAACTTTTTTGAGGGGAGGGGCAGACATATATGGTAGTATTAAAAAATTTTGTTCCCACAGAAATGTACAAATATATGCATACTTTTGCTGCTGTGGAACAAAAGGCACAGGAGGGCAGGGCTCAGCATACCTTCACCCTGGGTGTTTCATTGGCATCAGCACTTACTATACTACACAAGGAAAAGTCAGGCCTGCCAAGGCAGGGGGATGCCCATTAACAGTAGCTCTCAACTGCACATACACACAAAATTCACCTAAAAACTATGACAAATGGCTGGCTAGGCCATATTTCCAGTGACTGATTCAGTAAATAAAACCTAATAATCTGCAACTGAATAATAATCCCAGATAAATCTGAAACCGAAAGACTTAGAGGCTATCTCTTGAGAGATGCTCCCTTCGTGCAGACATTCTGCAGCAGCATCCTGCAGAGGCAAGGTTTGAAAGATTTCAGGAGCAGCACAAAACCAGAACTTTTTAAAGCTACTTCCTCTGCTGGGTATGGTGGTTGTCCTGGAACTCACTATGCAAACAAGCTGGTGCCAAATACAGAGATCCAGCCGCCTCCGCCTCTGCCTCTGAAGTGCTGGTAGTAAAGGCCTGCGTAGCACAGCTGGTCCACAGGACTTTGATGATTAAGCATTTGGTTCTACTCATTCCTTAATCTATAATCAAATACTAGAGAATTAATACAATCTTTCATTTGATAAAAGAAGCCACCAAAAACCAGGTGCTGAGATGTGTGTGTTCGCACACAGGCCGCCTAGATAATCTGTGGTTCTCTGGTGTTCCCCTCTATTAACCTAATTAGCAATTAACCTAGGACTTGGCATCAGTCTCCTTAGTCAATGGCTCCCTCTACTGGATAAACTTAGGGTAAAAAGATCTGTCTATAATTTTAGTAGAAATTTTGCTTAAAAGACAGTCAGTCCAGCTCTGAAAACATACATACAAGTAACATGGTGCAGGAGAATTGTCTGTATTCTGTCAATCATGTATTTTAATAAAACGCTGATTGGCCAGGCAGGAAGTATAGGTGGGTCAACCAGACAGGAAGTAGAGGCGGGGCTATGAGAACAGGAATATTCTGGGAAGCAGGAAGCTCCCTCTGCCACTCCTGCGCAAACCACCAGAGAAGGAACACGTGAGCTGACAACTGAAAAAGGTGCCAAGCCATATGGCTAACGTAGATAAGGATAATGGGGTAATATATGTTATAAGAACTAATAAGTAGCCTGACCTAATGGGCCAATCAGCTTTATAACTTATAGAGATCTCTGTGTGATTGATTTTCTCTGGGACTTGCTGGCTGTGGGGTACCGGGCAGGGACAGATACCCCAACAAGCTGGCCTTCATGTTACAGTAACATTTATATGATATGGACTCAACAGGTTATATTTAGAAATACATATGTATATACAAACACATATATGTATGCAATAGAAATTAAAGAAGAAAGAGGACACGAATTTGAAAGAGAATGGGGAAAGGTATATGGGAGGATTTGGAGGAAGAAAAGGGAAGAGAAAAACCTAACTAAGTTATAATCTCAAAAATAAACAACAAAAAAGAGAAAACTATAGCTAAAAAAAAAAGTATAAAATTAAAGATATAAGACCAGTATTTTTTCCTGCAATATTACTTTGTTAGATGGATCCTTTTTGAGACTTTAGGAAAAAACATTCATAATTCCATCTAAAAGTAATTATGCTTCTTTTTTCTCAGTAGTCCATAAACAAAAAAAGCATTCCTTAAAAGCAATCCTTAAAAGAGTATTTCAGTCTTTTTTGCCCACTGTAATCATTTGAAAGAGCAGGGCAGTCTATCTGGAAGACAAAATGAGCTCACATGCTAAATGTGAAAAACCAACAGGAAATTCTAATAGAATAAGAGGAATTCAATTCACAAAGGCTCTCAAGAATAGGAAGGGGAATCATATTAGCATATAGTGATTCTGAGGATTTCTAGAAAACTAAGGGCTGACACTCTCACTGGCATATATATGGGTTATAGCTCAGAGCTGGCAAAGGAGAAACCTGGACCAGAGAGGCGCTTTCTTTTTTCTTCTATCAAAGGCAGGAGTAGATAAGGCCAGAAATTGAAGTGGTTACTGAATAGAGAGGGATGAATTTACCAAGGAGCAATTTCAAATGAACAAAGTATAGAGAAAGAAACAGGAGAAAATTCATGAGCTCTTCCACACTGAATCCATTAAATGCCTATCAGGATGACTAAAGCCAAAGTGACATGCCACTTAAATCTGCCCATGTGAAACCCCATGACTTTTGAGTGCAAACAGAAAATAATAAAAAGTTTCCAGATAGGGCCTCTGACGGTTGTTGCAGGGAGGCCGCTTATTTGTTCAGGGTTGTCCAGTCTCAAAATAATCACACAGAAATTGTATTAATTAAATCACACTGCTTGGCCCATTAGCTCTAGCTTCTTATTGGCTAACTCTAATATATTAATTAATCCATTTCTATTAATCTGTGCATCACCACGAGGTCGTGGCCTACCAGCAAAGTTTCAGCATGTCTATCTCTGGCAGCAGATCATGGCATCTCTCTGACTCAGCCTTTCTTTCTCCCAGCATTCACTTTAGTTTTCCCCACCTAGCTCTGTTCTTTTGCCCCATCGCAGGCCAATACAGTTTCTTTATTCATTAACCAATAAAAGCAACACATAGACAGAAGGACCTCCCACACTAGACGGTTAGCTCTAATTGTAAACTTTACACAACCCAGAATCATTTGGTGTTGTGGGAAAGTTTGATCACACTCTGACACTCCCGAGAATGGCAATAAAGTTTACTTTGAATTAGAGAGTGGAGCTAGCTACTAGCAGACCAAAATTTGCCAGAGAGGTTTTGGAAGACAGAGGACATATAGACAGACACAGGAAATAGTAGGGTGGGGCTTAGAAAGATGCTTGACCCTTTTGGAAGGGGAGGAGAGGAGAGAGAGGAGGCCACTGGTTGCTTCTCTGATCATTCACGTTCCTAACTCAATATCTGACTCCTGAGTTTTTATTGACAAAGAATAATTAGACAAATGCTCAACCTGGGAAGATAGTCTCAGTGAGAGACTATCTATGTTGAACCGGGCATGGATTATGTCTATGAGGAATTACCTTAATTAAGACAATCAATGAGGGAAGACAGCCCACTGTGGGCAGCAGCATCCCCCAGTTGGGGGTGTGGTGGTGGTGGTGGTAACTTGAAGAATGGCACAGAGTATGATCAGCAGCTGTTTGAAATTCCCGCTTTAATTTTCCATAACAACGAACAGCAACTAATTCTTTCTCCCTGTTCCTTTTTGTCTGGTTGTTTTATTATAGCAACAGAGACAAAACTAGAACAGAGAGGAACAAAGGGATCTACTGTGGTATAACAGCAGGTTTACATTATTACATTAAAGAGAAACATTATTCTCTTTCACCGATCACTTACATGAAAAAGTTTTTCTGTCTTTGGAAACACTGCAACAATATCATACAGCCGGACCCTTGAAGAAGTTGCTCTCTATAAGACAAAAATGAATGTTATCACACAGTATCAAAATATATAAACAGAATCCTGGTCATCTAGCAACACTCAACATCCTCAAACTTAAACCAGTCCTCCTGCCTCAGCCTGCTGAGTGCTGGGGCCTGAGCTACCACACCTGGCTGCAAGCCCTGTGTTCACGACTGACTCAAGAGCTGACACAGGAGAGTATGAACTTGAGTCACTGATTGCGGCTGGATTTTCATGACTGATGCGAAGGCAACAAAGGTGGGAGCCTTTCCGGGAACAAAGGTTCCTTCTAACTCAGATTTCAAATCATTCCAACAAGACAGAGAAATGTCACTTTTTAAAAAAATAGAACCAAGAGTAAATGCCAAGACAGTTTTATATTGTGCAAAGTTATTAATCTATTTACATGTGGATAAACTGTTTTTCCATAACAAAAAGTATGACTGAGCTCTAGAAGGTACTGTAAGCTTGCAGCCTCGTGTGTATGGGAAAAGGAAACATGAAGACAGCTGGTCTCCAGTTTCCTGGAGCAAGACTGAATGTAACTTACTTTTTATTTTACAGAGCCCATAGTTAAGAGACTGAGGAATTTTACAGAGAATTTGGGTATTTTAGAGAAGATTGAACTTTGAAAAAGACTTTGGATATTTTAAAGAGACTCAATTTTTAAAACTTTTTAAGGATTTATGTTTTTTGTATGCATGCTCTGCATGTACACCTGCAGGCCAGACAAGGGCATCAGATCCCATTAGAGACGGCTGTGAGTTAGTCACCGTGTGGATGCCGGGAACTGAACTCAGGACCTCTGCAAGAGCAGCCAGTGCTCTTAACCCAAGTCATCTCTTCAGCCCTATTATTTGTTTTTGAGACAGGGTTTCTCTGTTTATCCTTTGTTATTCTGGAACTTGTTCTGTAGACCAGGCTGGCCTCAAGCTCAGAGATCTGCCTGCCTCTGCCTTCTGAGAGCTGAGATGAAAGGCATGTGCCACCACTGCCTGGCAAAACTGAACTTTTAGAGTGTCGGATTTATAAAGACTGTAGGAATTTTAAAATTTGGAATGTTTTATATTATAATACTATTATAATACTATTACATATGTGAGATCTCAGGGATGAACAGGATAGGAAAGTTATGGTTTAATTATAAGTGATGTTTGCGTGTGAAGCTGAGAGGAGGTCAATTGTGCTGGCTAACTGCATGTCACCTTGACAGCTAGAGGCATCTGGGAAGAGAAAACTTCAATTGAGAAAATGCCTTTATTGGACTGGCCTGTGAGCAAGCCTGTGGTGCATTTTCTTGAATGATGATTGACGTGAGACGGTCAGCTGGTTATAGGCAGCAGCACTCTTAGGATGGTGTCCTGGGTGCTCTAAAAAAGCACACTGAACGAACCATGAGGAGCGAGACAGAGAGCATCATTCCCCAGGACTCCGCACCAGTTCTTCCCTCCAGGTTCCTGCCTCAAGTTCCTGCCCCGACTTTCTTTAATGAAATGACGGACTATGATGTGAAACTGTAAACTGAAATAAGCACTTTCCTGCCAAAGTGGCTTTTGGTCATGGTGTTTTATGACAAGATCAATCCTAACTATGACAGCCATCAGTGGAATTAGCATTTTTTCCTAGATAGAGCCAGATAAGACTATTTCATGTGTTGTGGATAATTCACATGACTGTGACACACAAGCTCACAATGAAAATTCTGCTCAATAAAATTCAAATGTCAGATGTATAAGAAAATACTTCTGTTCTAGAAAGGAGACTTTATCAGTAAAACACTGTTATTGCTTAACAGGGAAAACCTCAAACCTGATGCTGTATATGAGAATGAAAAAATACATTCAAAATGTACAGTCCCTGAGTGCTGAATAATGGATGGTATTTCTTCTCTGTCAGCACCTTATAACTTTTAGGAAGAGACACATTACATACAGTGCAGCTTCTACACACAGAGAAAGCAGGCAGGTGTCAAGGATTTGAGGCATACATGTGGTGGGAGAATGAGGTGAGATAAAATGTGATAATGTTAGTTAACATAGAAGGTCAAACATAGAAAAATAATGAACTCACCAAAACATTACAGTGAGACGGATCTGTAACGATAATTGTCAATCTAGTTAAAAGTTTAATCGGTCTTGATTTTCCCTACAAACAAAAATACATTATTAAAAAAAATTAAAAAGCAATTGGTTCATTTCCTTTTATCGACGGAAAATAGTAAAAGTTACAAAGGACAGTGAAGATCAACAAAGCATGCTTATCTGACAGGTATTTATGATAGCAGAAGAAAATACTATGTACATCTAGTAAACTACATGATGAGATAATTTAATAGCTGCTGGGCTTTAAGAGGATACCAAACAAGCACTGATGGACAGTAAGAAAGAGATGAAGAGGTGAGCCCCAGTGGCAAGGTGGACCTGGAGGAGGCAGGAGCCATTGCAGTTAGAGAACACATCATGAGGATGGGCATGTCTCTACACTTAAACAGTAAACCGCCTACCTGTACAATGGGTAAAGCTGTGAAGAGCTCAGAAACTGCTACTGGCTTTTCAATCTCCTACAATAAACAATAAACAGTAACTCCAGCTACATGTTAAAGAACAAATGAAACTCTTTAAAAGCATCTCAGGAAAAAAAAAAAAGAACTAATTTCTGGTATTCAAATTTACTAACTAGTTCTCTCTATTTTTTTTTTTAAGGAAAGAAACTAAAGAGCAGAAAAGCTGCTAAGAACATCAGAGGATAAAAATATTGAAGCCAGAAATGACCTACAAGATACAGTTGTTTACCTAAGAAGAAATACACACATCTTATAGTCTATTAAAGAGAAAAAAAATCAGTGAGTTAATAAGACCATGGCAGCAAAGTAAACAACAAGATATTGTGGTTACAGTTCATTTAACAGTAATGCAATTTTAAACATCTTTGAATTTGTATGAATATATACCAGTTCAATTATTAATGTAAAATAATAAGCACAGGGTGTTTTTAAGAAATATAATTGAGGGTTGGGGATGTAGCTTCCTCCCTCCCTCCTTCTCTCCCTTCTTTTCTTTCTTCTCCTCTTCTTCCTTCCTAGAAAGTTTGGAGATGCACTGTTGTGAGATATTTGATTACTCCATGGAAAGATATGTCACTGTGATTGGTTTAATAAAAAGCTAAATGGCCAATAGCTAGGCAGGAGGGATAGGTGAGACTTCTGGACAGAAACAGATCTGGGAAGAAAAAAGGGGGAGTCACCAGCCATACTCTGAGGATGACACGTAGGAGGATAGGTTAAAGCCATGAGTCATGTGGCAGCATGCAGATTAACAGAAATGGGTTAAGTTATAAAAATTAGTTAGAAACAGGCCTAAGCCAAGGTCAAGCTTTGATAATTAATAAGTCTCTGGGTCACTATTGGGAGCTAGCAGTACAGAGAAAGACTTGCTACAATGCAGTTCATTTGGTAGACTGTTTTCTAAAATGCACGCAGCCAAGCCAGAAATTCTATCCCAGAATTTCATAAATTGGGCATGGGCTTGTAATCTCAGCACTTGGAAGGCAGAGGCAGGAGGTCATCCTTGGCAACACAGTGAATTCCAGACCAGAAAACAAAACAAAAAACAAACAAAAAAACGAAACATACTTGTGATGACTTATCCTTCACTACCAATTTGACTTGATTTAAAATGATGATGGGAGCAAATCTCTGTATTTCTATAATGGTATTTCCATAAAGGATTAGCCCAGGAGGTTAGATGAACCCTGAATGTGAGCTGTACTGTTTCATGGGTTGGGGTCCTAAGTGAACTAACTGAAAAGGAGAAAATGAGCTGAGACCCAGCACTCATCTCCTTCTGCTTCCTGACCGAGGAGAAACTGTGACCAGCCACTTTATGCTCCTGCTGCCATGATGGACTGCACCTTCAAAGGAAAAGCAAAACAAACTCCTCCTCCCTTATGTTGCTTTTGTCAAGTATGTGGTCATAGCAACAAGACAAGTAACTAATACAACACTTATTTCTAGTTCCTTATTCCCGACAGAAACACGTATTCGTGAATTCTTAATATTTATTAACTAATTAATATGATAAATCTTATTTTACCTGTTTCTTGTCCTTAAAGTCAACAATATGATTGATGGCAACAACTGAATATCCAACTGAAAAAAAAAATGAGTATTTAAAAAATAGTCTTTCTTGTTCACAATGATGATCCCGATCTTAGATTCAGGAGTTATGAGATGAGGTTGGGATGTAGCTAACTGTTAGAATGCTTGCTTAGCATACGCGAAGCCCTGGGTTCTAGTTCCAGACCTGGAAAATAAGTGGGCGGGGCAGGAGGTAAATCTAAGCACTAGGGTTTACTATTACTTAAGGTTTCAGGTTCTTCATTTGTCAAGCGATGTTAATAGCAGACAGCGCTTTCAAGTGTCATGAAAATTAAGTGCAATACCCCTTGCATTTTAGGAGAGTGCCAGGCACATATTCAGGCTGTGATTTATGTTCACACGATACTAAAATGCCGTGTTTGTGCTTTCCACACAACATTCCCAGGATTTCCTGACTCTGTTCATTTTCATTCCATCAAGTTTGTGTCTTTCTGTCACCTTCATTATCATTCATTTCTTCTGCGATGCTCTTTCTATTTCTTCTCTTTCCTAACGCACAATGGAGGGATGACTCCTTGACACCTCTTTTGGGGTGTTCTACAGTAATGGGCAGGGAACACTAAGGGTGTGCCTTATTATCTCAACAGTTAGCGCTGTTTGAACAAGTGTGATGAGTGTCTCTGTCCCCCTACATCTAAATCACGACTCCTGGCTTTTAAGTTGTCGAAATACAAACAGGACGATAGGGTATTAGTATTAAAAAAATAATGCTAGGTAATGACAAAATAGCGGTCCTTCTTCTTATCACCTAGTCCGGTAACTCCCTAGTTTCCTTCCTCTCAAAGGTATTTGAGCATCCGTTATTTGACAGGCTCTATCCCAGGTGAGGGCACACATGAGCAATGCTCATCCTCAAGGAACTTCCACTGCAGTTCTTGCCTGTGACCCTGTTTTCTGTATTTGACAGATGTCGTGTGAGTCAAAAAGGACTGATATTAAAGAAACACCGGCTTGGGGGGGACTGTACACCTGGAGTCCAGTCCCAGTTTCTACCATCCATCAGTCCACAGGCCCTATGACAAACCCTCGATCGCTTTGGCCTCTGTTCTCTCCCTCTGAGCGAAAGTGTGGGCAAGCCCAAGCAACAACATCTTTCTCGAGGGCCTGTGAGTCTCCCACGCCGGGGATGCGGGCTACACGGCAGCTAACTTCGGCTTCTAGGGCAATCAGGCAGACCCCACGAGAGACAGGAATGGCGCCTGGAGAAACTACCGAGAAAACTGGATGGTATGGGGGATAGCGAGGGCAGCGCTCGCGGCGCAAAGCCAGCAGACTCACGGTGAGCAGCGTTCTCCACCAGTCCGCGCAGAGCCTTCAGGTCCGAGCCCGCTCTTATGTCCAAATCTGCGAAGGCTGCCATGCTGACGTCCCGGGAGCACCCGCGCCAATCTGCGCAGCCGCTGTGTTCCTCCTCGAGCATGCTGGGAGTTGTAGGCTGTCACTTGGGCATCCTGGGATTTGTTGTTTTTCCTTCTAAGTAGTCTAGACTCAGAGACTGCCTTACCGTCTAGGAATCTACAGCTTCACTTATTCCCTTTTGGTCGTGACTTGATCGAGGATATTTGGTATACTCTGTAGTGGCTCCCCCTTGATCCTGACATACAACAGTGTAGAAAATGATTCATTCTGAATGCACCCATTCTATGATCAAGCAGATTATCTCTAATAATCTTGAAATCCTGTTTAAAGCTCTGGGAGAGCCTGGTGTGGTGCACGCCTTCAATCCCAGTACTTGAAAAACGAGGTAACTCTGTGAGTTCGAGGCCGTCTTGACCTACACGGTGAGTTCCAGGCCAGTGTGGGCTACATAATCTCCAGAGTAGATAAATTGGTAAATAAATAAAGAGACAGGGGAAATTGCTTTTCTTTTTGTTCTCTAATTACCTTCCATTTTTTGAAATGGACTTAAAAGCCCCTTTGAAGCACTTGCTCTGGGGCTAAGATTGTTTTAACTCTTTGGGCTAGGTCTAAGATAAGGGGCATCTGTTACAGCCGACATCTACAACACAAGACAGTAGGGTGCTCTCAATGGTGAAGGCTTTGCACCAGCGGGTTTTTTTGTTTTTGTTTTTGTTTTTGTTTTTTGCCAGAAATCTGATAGAAAGAAGGAAAACTGAAAACATTTCTTTTACAAATTTTTATGAGAAATATATAAATATCATTTGATGTTTCTTCTTTAAAAATTAACTCTTGAATATTGACAGATCTTGAATATTGACCCAACAACATAAAATGCTGGCATGATTTTCAGTCTACCTGATGCCGAAGGCCGGTCCTTTACTCCTTTTCATTCAGTCTCTAGTTGGTCAGCATGTGAAACCTTTATACATTACCAATAAGCAGCTCCAGCCTTGTGCAGCTCAATAATATGATATCTGAATTGTTGGGTTCTCAGATAACAAAAGTTCACCGATCAGAAACTTGTCCATCAGGACAAAATGACAAAGTGCTGAAAATGTTTAGAAACATTTTTTAGTTTCTGTACTGATCACAAACAATATGTGAACTTCCCCATCTGACTACATTTTAGGTAATATTCCTCAACATAATGGTCTCTAATTTTTTAAAGATTATTATTATTATTTTGTAACAGGGTCTTGTTAGTAGTCCATGTTGGGCTCGAATTCACAGTCTTGCCTCAGCATCCTGGGAGTTGGGATTGCAGCTGTGCATTGTCACACCTAGATTTGATTAATATTTTATAAAAAAGAAAATATTTGGTTGTTTCCAATGCTTGATATTCTCCCAAACGAAACAACTTCTGCCACTATAGCAAGGCCATATAAAACAGACCCCTTGCTTTTCATCAGAATGTCTAGTGCAAACTTTTGTAGGAGTGGAGAGGCATCTTCTTACATGATCACAAAAATCTAGATTGGTCAATAGTAATGTAGTGGATGTAGAGAAGATTAAGAATTTGAATTTTTCAATGCTAAGATTAGGTCAAAGAGGACACATTTGTTTTAAAGTCATGGTGATGTTGCTGTGGACTTCACTGCTTAGGATCCCTTTGCTTTATACTCTAAGCTTAGCTAAAGAGAAGAAAAAGTGAGAAATAAAATGGACAGATAGAAATCATTGAGCGCTATGGGGCAGACCATCTGCAAGTACTTCTCTGTATGTGTTATTAATTTTCAAAGCAATTAAGTATTGTGTGGAGGCCCAAAATTATGAGCCTATTTCCACAGCGACCAAAGGTCAGAGAGTTGGGACTTTCCTCTAGTTCTTTCAAGGTTTTGTGCTTCTACCTCAAAACAAAGTCCCACCTAGACGTTGGTCAGAGAGTTCTGCTCTCTCAAGGTTATTGTCATCAGGTGTGGCAAATTGCCAGACTTTGTGCTCCAGGAATAAAGAAGTATATCTGTTTGAACCTGAAACAAAAGTCTAAAGATCCAACTAGGTTCCAGTTCCCTTTATAGAGATAAACTGGGATTCCACCCAGAGAGTGGTTTGCCTACAGAGTGTTTTGGTCTAGGGTGTAAGTGTGACTTGGTTTGTTCTAGCATCAGAATGTTTAACTAGGATGTAGCCCGAAACTTTCAATTGGTATGTTCATTTCCTTGTGTCATGTTAATGCAGTTTTTTTTTCTTATCCTACCTTTAGGGGTCAGGATATTTTAAGCAGTTGGAAATTAAACAGGGGCGAATTTTCAGACTCGCTGGAATTCCCTCCTGATACTATTCTATAAATTTCTCTGTTTTATTATTTTTGTTCACATCTTCATATTCTTTTTTAATATTTATTTATTATGTATACAATATTCTGTCTGTGTGGATGCCTGCAGGCCAGAAGAGGGCACCAGACCCCATTAGAGATGATTGTGAGCCACCATGTGGTTGCTGGGAATTGAACTCAGGACCTTTGGAAGAGCAGGCAATGCTCTTAACCTCTGAGCCATCTCTCCAGCCCCACATTTTCATATTCTTTACCATATTTCTAATCCCCACGCCTTTACCTTGGCGAGAGGTATTTTTGTCATGGCTGGTCCCCGACAGTATTTTTTTTTTTTAAATCAACACCTACTTTTTTGACATTTGAACACCTGAAGGCTTAGGCAGTATAATGGTGGATTGAAGCATTTTGGCTCAGTTGCTACTTAGTGTACTGTCTCCTGAGAAAAATAAGCAGAGAGGACAGTTGTGGATGACAGGTGAAAGAGAGAAGAAGAAAGAAAGGAGGCCAAGGAAGGAAAGAGGAAGCAGGGGATAGGAAGGAAGTAAAAGGAGGTAGAGGAGGAGGCAGGATTGGGAAGATGGAAAATGATGGGATAGGGAAATTACAGGGAAAAAAAGGTCAAATGTTGGCCTACATGGGTGGCAGCAAGGATGCAGTTGGAAGAAAACATTAAAAATTCCTGAATAGAGCCAGGCGGGTGGTGACACACGCCTTTAATCCCAGCAGATTTTTGTGATTTCAAGGTCAGCCTGGTCTACAAGAGCTAGTTCCAGGACAGGCTCCAAAGCTACAGAGAAACCTTGTCTCAAAAAACCAAGAAAGAAAGAAAGAAAGAAAGAAAGAAAGAAAGAAAGAAAGAAAGAAGGGAGAGAGAGAGAGAGAGAGAGAGAGAGAGAGAGAGAGAGAGAGAGAGGAAATTCCTGAATGGAACACAACTGTACTGTGCACTTGCTGACTTCATTCTCAAAAGAAGTCCAAAGGGTGGTGTGGTGGTGTGAAGATGATGTTGTTGTTCGTTTGGTGATGGTGGTGTGGTGATTGCGTTGGTGTGGTGATGGTGATTGTGGTGGTGGTGATGGTGGGTGTGTGTAGTAGTGGTGGTTCCTGTTATCTTGGCTTTAAGATAACGGCTACTAGATAATTTTCTCTTCCATAGTGGAACTTAGTGTCATGTCTAAAAGAAACTGGGAGCAAATGGCTAACTGTGGTGCCTGTTAGCATACTGAAGTACATGCTGGCCTCCAGACTGTCTCAGCATCTCAAGTAACCAGTTACAGAGTCCACCCTGCCCTCTGCCCTAAACTTATCCAGCTCCTGGGCTTCCCTATGATAGTAAATAATGTGTTCTCAATGTAAACACTATTGTACTTAAAGAATCCACGAGAAAAATGCTTCAGTTTGTAAGCTGCTAGTTTGTGAAATATACCATCAGAGAACTTGCTCAAGATAGATAGCTCCTGAAGTTGAATAGCTAAGCTAATCTTAAGAAACTTATTCTTGTAAATTTTACTGCCTCTGTTGTTCTTGTAAGACCATGGGTCCTGGGACTAATCAATAATTTTGCTTCTGTAAAGACTGTTTCCTTGATGAAGACTTTTAAGTATTTTCTCTTAGAAAAACCTCTCCACTGGCGCAAATAATCTCAATCAGACTGAATCAGGCCAAATTAAAAGTTGCCCATGTTTAATGGAGTGCTCCCGGGAAAACATGGAGAGGGAAATAGGGAGAGACTAGAGACCACGTGAAACCCAGAGACCATGTGTTCATTCTCTGGGGGCAGTTTAAATAGTCTGTGGGAGTGGTCTTGACCTTCCCTGGGGAGGGGTTACCATTTGGTGGGCTTTCTTGACCCTTCCTGGGGAGGGGTCAACGTTTGACCGTCTTTCTCAGAGGTGGATTTTGGACTGAGGCAACTCCCAGGGAAGGGAGCTTATGTAGGAGCTGGGGTAAAGCCCTGAACCAAATAGAGATAATGGAGACATCTATGGGATGTCTGTTGTGGGACAAAGGTCTTTTATCCTGTCATTAGTATTATTTTTAATAACATGCTGATTGGTCAGTAGCCAGGCAGGAAGTAGAGGCAAAGTAATGAGGACAGGAAACTCCTGGGAAGAGGAAAACTCAGTCTGCAGTCATCATACAGACATAGAGGAAGCAAGATGTGACTGTCTCGCTGAAAAAGGTACCAAGCTACGTGGCTAACACACTTTAAAGCGCTATCTGCTATTAACAATGCTTGACAGATGAAGAACCTGAAACCTAAAGGAATAGTAAATGGTACTGTTTATGGGCTAATATAAGTTATAAGAGTTAATAAGAAGCCTGAACTAATAGGCCAGTCAGTTTATAATTAATGTAGGCCTCTGTGTATTTATTTGGGACTAAACGGATGTGGAACCTAGTGGGACAGAAACCTCTGTCAACAAAATGGTGCCCAACATGGGGCTGACTAAATCCACTTAAAAACCTGAGAGAGTTTGGGAAATAATTCTAGACAAAAAAGAACAAAGTTAAGCATGGTTTCTTGGTAGCATTTTCTTAGGTGGGCTCTGTTTGCTAGAGGCAAGGACATCTCATTTAAGAGAGGCTTCCTGATTCAGCTTTAGCTGCAAAACACCTTGTAGCTCTTTTAAGAGGCCCAGTCACCAAACACTTAAATGGTGTTTATGAATAGCCGACAGCATGCTTCTTGGTGATGGCAGGGACCTTGAA